TTTGTATAAAACAATTAAACTTACTGCTGCTTTGGAGTGAAGATCTCTAAGCTGCTTTTCTTGGGCTTTGATCACCTTGTCCTGTTCTTTAGACCTCTAATGAACAGGAATAAAAACATGAAACATTTAATTGTCTTTAAGTAATTCAGTAAACATCAACACAGAAATGAACCACTCAGTAATAAGGCTAGATTATACCTAATTAAATGCCTTCCCTGGTTATAACTTGACAGATTCCAACTTTCTCATGAGTCAGTTTTTACATACATTGGTGATAAAAACCAGTATTTATTGTACTCTTACCCTCATCAATTCCTTCAGTTGTTTTTCATAACTTTTACCAACATTACTGCCACCTTCTTTCTCGATACCAAGCTGCATCTTAGTCTGTTCCAGATTCTCATTCAGAATTTCTAACTCATTCTCATGATTCATCTTCAATTCTTTCATTCTATCTTTCCATCGTTTCTCCTGATCTTTCAGTTGTCCATGCATGTCTTTACGCATAGATTCCTTCAATGATCGCATCTATAATCAACCATAGTCAGTTACAATATCCATTCAGTCATAAGTGACATCAACAAAAGTGATTGATGTGTAGGAGTTGCTTCAGTTTTTCATTTATATTAGGCAAAGAAAATCACAAAGCCAACCAGTAAAAATAAATTAAATGAAGATGCTATATTCAAATTATGAGATTTTAGTTACTTTTTATGCATATCTGCACAGGATACTCCTGCATCACTATCACCAGCACAATATACAATTCAGTGGGCTCTTACTAAGGAACATTGGTATGGAGAAACTTAAGAAGGGGACAATTGTGAAGTGCTGGAAAAGTAACTATTTTTTGTTAGAGAATACTGTTCAGCAAATCAGAGTTTGCTACTGTAAAAACAACTTTGGTTCACTTTACCTGTTCTGACATATCTTTAATTGTTTTATCATATTCTTCCCTTTGTTTTTGTAGATCTACATCATCCACAAGGTTACCAAGATTAGATTTTTGACCTGCAAAGCAATATGCTGTTATTGTAAAACTGAAATTATGCTTCTTGGCAAACCTCAAAAACTAATTAAATTATAAATTGCTAGAAGTTGATAACAATGTAATGTAGATCTAATGTTCTTAAGCTTTGTGTTCTTTGAATATGGCTAATATGTTAGCAAGCTTTGCAGATTGTCCATTTTATAACTTGCATAGGAAATCTCAGATCAGAAAATATTTGTTTAAAAAAAGTATTGAAATTATTGTTCATGGCCTTGTTGGAGTCCGGTTAGATTACTGTAACATGGTATAACACATTCACAAATGTCAAAATTTCAAAGAGTACAGAATCCTGCAATAAGTGTGACCAAATTAGGTACACCACATTTGATAAATAATCAGAAACGTGAATGTATAACATCTATAGAATCTATGCTATGTCATATGTTCCATCATTTTCAGGTCATCTTCAGACTGTTTCCTGGTTGTTCCTAGATCATGATTACCGGTAACTACCTGTGGGACAGGGCATTTTCTGTGTACCATGTTTATGGAATGTGCTGTCAAACTAATTTAGAAACAGTTCTAACATTTTTCTATTCAAGGCTAATTTGAAATTGTCTTTATTCAAAAAGTCATATAGTTTGTTATTTGTAGATATTTGTTACATATAGCATGAATATTTATATTTATAGTGATATATTTATGCAAAATAAAATACTATCCACATTTGAAAACACTTGCACTTGCTATATTTTGATATATAACATATACATGTAGGCTTAGTACAATTATCTAATTAACATATCTTGGAGAGCATACTACTGGCATCTAGTTGTCATTATCAGCAGTACATTTTTTTCTCAATATTTTGAAATTTGTACTAGTTAGATCAAAAATTTAATTTGGTTGACATTTCATAGGGTATAATAACAAGCAGTCTCTTAGCTGAGATAGGCAATTGGATTTGCGTTTTTTAACAAGACGTCGAAAATATCCCTTTTTACCAAGAATAACAAAAATTTCCATCAAAATTAGAGAATTGAAAATATCATCACAAAATTAACAAATCTGAGAGAGGTCTATCTGTAGTACCTATATATATATATATATATATATATATATATATATATATATATATATATATATATATATATATAATGTCAGAGGAATCAAACTTGCGGTTTTTAACAAGAATTAGAAAATATCACTTAACAAAAATTACAAAAATATTTACCTAAAATAGGAGAATTAAAGATGTCATTACGAAATGAACAAATCTAAGAGAAGTCTGCCCAAGAAACATATACACCAAGTATCAAAACAATAATATACCGGTACCCTGCTAGACAACTTTGATGATACGGACAAGGTAGCAAAATGGCCACCAGTTGTCAATTTTTAATGTGATCTCAGAAATTAAATAACATGCTTCAAGGTCCATAATGTCCAATTTATATTTGAGCTGTCAATATACAGTATGACTAAGATCTGGTTTCAAAATAGAAGCTAAGCTATGCTTTACTTTAATAATTTTTTAGGACAAAATGGCCACAATTCAGCCATCTTGAATCAGATCATGAAACAAATGAGCATGTATACATGTATGTCGTACAAGATGTGGTCATGCATGTGTGAACTTTGAACATGATCGTACCAGGCATCTTGAGAAACAGGTGGAGACACACAGATGCACGCATGCATACACACAAATCAATCAGTCAGTCCCAGTTTTTGGGCATTGAATGGGAACTTAAAATTTATTAAACTTCATGCACACTTAAGGTAGCGAGACTATTATTTGTGTTGAAAATTACGATTTTCACATTTATTTATTAATTGATGAAATGCACTATAAACTTTCATATGATAAAGTCAACATAACATAGAATGTCATGTAAGTTGGTTAAAATGTAGATTTTCTGAAGGAAAGCAAGGCAGCCTCAGTAGTGTTTCCAAAATCAACAAC